GAGGCGCGGGCCGGGTCGGGCCGGGTGGCGGGGCTAGCCCTGATGGCCTTCGCGGCCTCTCTGTTGCAGCCACCATTACTTCAAGTACTGCAAGATCTCGGCGCTGGCGCTCCTGAAGATGGTGATGCACGCCAGGTCGGGAGGCAATCTGGAGGTGATGGGGCTCATGCTGGGTAAGGTGGACGGGGAAACCATGATCATCATGGACAGCTTCGCCCTGCCGGTGGAGGGCACCGAGACTCGCGTCAACGCTCAGGCGGCCGCCTACGAGTATATGGCTGCGTACATTGAAAACGCAAAGCAGGTGAGGAGAATTGGCGGAGGGTGTTTCTCCCCCTGTATGGTGTGTCTGCAAGCTAATCGCGCAGGAACATGTTCTGGGGTTTGCAGGCTTCCCCGCCTTCCATCTTCCCACAGTGATAAAGTGGTTGTCCGATTGCCCTTTTTCCTCTCAAACATGGCTAAGAGGACTGTGTCGGCAGCAAGGAACATTTTCACATGCATTTCCATGTCTTTTAGTAGGTCATCAGGTACTTGACTTTCCCTTCCTTTATAAATGATTTTTATTGCTCAGGAAGTGTTTTTGTGGCTGCAGCTGGTGGTTTGTGGATGGAACAAGGAGGGAGTGTGTTTCTAAAATAACTAATAGAATGCATGTTTCTAAAAACAGTATGCAAAATTAAAGATACTTATGTGCCAAAAATATTTATTATTTGTAGATCAGGAACATGCTATTTATTCTTACCTTCTTGTTACCTGAAGTCTTACTGCATAGCCATGTTGCTGTTTATTGTTATGGAAAAGACATTTGTGAAGAAAATGCCAATGAAGGAATAATTATGTTTCAGTGCAACATAATTATCCAGACTTACAATTCAGAAATTTAGATGAACTGACTCAAATGTCTGTCCCTGCTTTGTCACCTAGTGTTCAGAGGTTCATGTCATATTAAGCTTGAATACACAGTAAAATTCTCACATGCAGAAGGATAACAGAAATATAAATCTACTCTGTGGCTGATCTAGAAACCAGGATGACACATCAGAGCACCTGCTGACATGCTTCTTCCAGTACAGGGCAATCTTATACTATGAATAAGTGTTGGAATCACTCTAACTCTTCAAGCTGAAATAGTTTGAGGCCCAGTTTACTCTTTGATTTTTCTTCAATCCTGGAAGTATTTTAAACCAGATAAAAGTAGAGGCCACTTATTCACTGGACATAACAGAGCAGTATTTGGGTTATTTTGGAGAGTTGTGCCTGTATATACAGTTGAAGAGACTTAAATAGATGTGAATTAGACTGGATCATAACATGAGAAAAGAGTAAACATTATCCAGAAGTAGCTATACAGTAGGTATATTCAGGGACAGGGTTGGGTGGGTAGGGTTCTGAGTAATTCATCAACCCTATTTACGTGAAAGTTTTGAAATAATTCATTGCATCTTGTTCGTTTTATCTGAAAACTATTAATGTCATGATGGTAATACTGTTGTTGCAGAAAAGTAGGGAACTTGAAAAGATGTCTTTACCTACAGATAAATTTGTACTATCCAGTTCTTAGGTAGAAATAATGGGTTTCAAAATAGTAAATATATAACATAAAATTAGGATTTTTTTTATATGTAGTTAGTTCATCTTATGTTTAAAGCAGTCCAGGTTTATGTGAGAGTACTCATATGGTAGGAAATGTTTTGTTCTAGTTGTTTATATTGTGCAGGTCTGTCTATAGTTAGTTTTAACAATTTTGGAATTGAACTCCTGTGCAAATATAACAACTCAGCTTTACTGATGCTCTGGCAGAGTTTGCATGCTGGCTGTTCCACATTTGATTTTGGCAAGCAGTTGTTCCTGGAATAACTCTTTTTAATGTTAGATTGCAAGTTGATATATCCTCTTGCATACATACTTCACAGAGGCCAACGTTCCACTTGCTTCACTGTAGGCAGGTTCTGGTGTTAATATGGTCAAAAAGTCTTATTTAGCTTTGAAAAGTAACGCAACTTCTTTGGGAATTTGTTGGTTTCTATAAATGGGAGTTATAAATATTATTCACCAATTCAAAAATAAAATAAATACTGCGTTCAGTAGGCAATTTGTATGCTCTGTCGCATCTTAACATTCTCATTTAACCTTCCTGATGTATTCAGTATTTCGCAAAACCAAGCAGCTGATTCATCCAAACACACAAATCTCAGTTAAGAATTGGGGTCGTACCAAAATTATTCAACTCAGTATTGAGCAGCCAGTATGCAATTACTGAGAAAGGATTACAAAATTAGGTGCAACGGGTGTTCATTTTCTTGGGCAGGCGGGTGTTGGTTGGTTAGTTGTTTTTCTTCCAGTATGTTTAGAGATAGCCAGGGGTATTATTTGGAACCTCCTATTTTGCGTTTTTCTGATCCTGTATATCTCAAATTCATCTTTCGGCTTTCAGAGTGTGCTCTGGCGATAAATTCTGTCACACCTGGTGTTGGAAAACGGGCATCTTTCAAGTTGTAATTTTTTCAACCTACCGATGATGTCTCTATATATGCCTCTGAGGTATATTAAATAATGAACGTTCATTCTCTACAGACATGCCATACATTATATGAGACTATATATACTTACGTCATAGCCACCCTACGAAATTTTTCTTCTATGCTGAAGAGTCCCACCATGTGGAATCACCTATGTAATTCAGTTGTCATTGAAAAAGGAGCTCCTGGCTCCCTGAAGTTCTTCCTTTTGTGGTAGTAGCTATAACGGAGAATGCTAAAACTATATGTGGTTTCTAGAAAATAGTTTAGCAAAATACGGTGTTTGGTATTAGTAAGTTATCATCGCGGCCTCTGTGTGTGTTCTTTTTCTATCCTCTGACTGCGTTGTAGTGTGCTGGAAGGCCCAAAAGAGGGCAGCGGATACTTTTGGAATGGAGGTTAACACTGGGTTGGTTTTCCTTCACTGCTGTTAGGTTGGTCGTCTAGAAAACGCAATTGGCTGGTATCACAGTCACCCTGGCTATGGCTGCTGGCTCTCTGGGATCGATGTCAGTACCCAGATGCTTAATCAGCAATTTCAAGAACCCTTTGTAGCAGTGGTTGTAAGTACGGGCTGATAGTTGATAAAACTGCATGGCAAATTATGTTGAGGGGGGAATAGTTTTTAGATTTCTGTTAACATTCTAGTAAGTGTGTTTTTGCATGATAAAAGTGTTAGATCCAAATTTTAAATTGGTATCGCTTCTTTTGCTTTGTTAGCCACATACTAGTCAAACCGGCAGTATTCCTTATTGCATTTTCACTGCATTGTTTCAGGTTTGGTATATCTGTAGAAATCTATATGTTACTCATAACTTAAAGTTCTACTTGGTACTTTTGAAAAAAAATGTATTGAGCAATCCATATTCAACCTCCTGCAATAAAACAAAAATTTGTTGCTTTTGTTGAAATAAAGCAAAGCATGTTCACAGAGTTTTGTTACTTGGCATCTAAAATGCCTTTTAAATTAAATCAGTGGGATAGTACAAGGTAGAAGATGCTAGGAAATCTATCTTTGGAAAAAAAAAATGCTAAAGAAACTCTTTGGGCCCTTCAGGATCTTCCAGGCTTCAGATCACATTTGAAATCAAAAGTAAATCTTATTTTAGACAGGACTCTTGTAACCATTGCTACTGAAGGAAATAAAGGAAAAAAACCTGAAATTAGTCAGAAAGAAGGAATATAACTCTGATGGAAGAATTACATTAGAAAAGGATAAGTCATCCTTAAGAAGTATTTCCACCATATTAGTTCTCCTATGTTATGACATAATTTCACAGATTCAGAACACTTTTTGGGACTGGGTTTTTTGTTTGTTGTTTGGGGTTTTTTAGAATTTTTTTCTTTCTTTTTCTGCCCTTTTTTTTTTTTAATTACTTTTAAACATGGCAGTAGTAAATATGTTAGCAAGTAGATTCCTTCATTAGTTTCCTGTATTTTCCACCAAAATACAGCAGATCACATAATACTATTTCTTAACCTCCAGTGGTTATAAGATTAAAATGCAGAGTTTTTTTTTTTACTATGGTTTATTGATTGCTCTTAAGTGCAATTTCTTTCAAGTATTTGGGAAATAAGGAAAACTAGTTTGAAAAAATGGTCCATAGAAGGCTCTTGATATTCCTATCTTTTTAGAGTCTTACACCCACAGATGCCAACTGGAAAAGCACTGTTTATGACAAAACTAATACCATTTGCACTAATTACATTTCTGAAATACAATTACTGTAAATTTAATGTATGCTTGTAATAATTTGTAAAATGCATATAACAAGCATTACCTATATTTTTACAGATTGATCCAACAAGAACAATATCTGCAGGAAAAGTAAATCTTGGAGCATTTAGGACATATCCTAAGGTAAATAGTTAAAATTATCTAGTACGTGATCACTAAACTGTCTTCAAATGAGTAGTAGTTTGGTTCTAAAAATTACTGCAGTTTGATCATCAGACAGTTCGATCTGCTGTACTGTATGTCATTCCTCATTCTAAAAGAAAGACATGCTGATATACTGGTTATCGCATGTCTGTTGGATATTGCTTACGTTTACAAAGGTTGACTTCTAATTTGTTTTTCATAGATTTTTGGCAGTGTTAAATCAAATAGACTGTCTAGATAATGGAGCTGTCCGAAAATTAAATAGCTCACTATAGCCATTTTTTAATGGATATAGTTGTAGGTAACATTCATGGAAATAGATGTATGTTAATTCTTCTCTATCATTTTTTTTTTGGCCTAAAACCAAATGTTAATAGTGTGCTTTATATTTTAGAGAAGCAAGATTGAAAATTATCTACTTAAGTCTCTCAAATAAATATTATGAATCTTCGCAAAATGTAAAAAATAAAATATTAAAAAAAAAATTAAACAACATGGAAGGGTTAGGCCAAAAACCAGGAAATCACATCAATATTGGAGATCTAGACTTCCAAATGCAGTCTTTCATTGATACTAATAGCAGTGATATAACTGTGCTATTTAATTTCAATCTAATAAAGTTCAGGTATATTCTTCAAATTTCCAGTTATTATTGACTCATCAAGGACTTCAGGGTGACATCCAGTAAAACTGTATTTAACAAAAATGTTTGTGAGAGGTTCCCAGTTGCATTCAAGCATTATTTTTGTGTTGACAAATAGATGAGAGATCTTCTTAGAACAGTTTGTGATTCTGTTGACAAAATTGCTTCATAAATACTTTCAGAATTTTGAACAGGGAGAAGAATCCTGCACCTGAAAACCAAATCCTATATAGAGAATGAACGTTAGAAGCGTATTTTTAGGGAGTCCTCGCAAAGGTCTATGGGCAGTTCTTGCCTGGTCAGTAGCTGTGAGTGGCACCATCTTGGCTAAATAAGCAACTGAAGTTTTAGGTATCCCTAAGGCATATCCAAGACATGAATGTTTCTTCCCTCTTCTCATGCCTCCTATCTTCCCTCAAAAGAGGACTGAAATCCCTTCCAAGAACAGGTAGAGAGATCCTATCTTAGAAGAAGCTCACTCTTTCTTTTATCTAGGAAATGATCTAATTGTAGCTTGCCATCTTACTTCTTTGAAAAATCTCAACTATGACCACTACTTTGCTTCCAACATGCTTTCTGATAGACCTGCAAATGTAATGACTGCCATTAAAGCCAAATGTAAATCTGAGATCTAAGAAAATCACAAATTTTGGGCTCCTAGGGGAAATTTTATTTTCCCTAGGAAAAATAAACTAGAATTGCATAAACTAGAATTTTTTTGAAGTGCTTTAGAAGAATTTAGGCATTTTTGAAAGTTCCAAAATTACTGTGTCATCTTTGCCCTTTGTTGAATTTTTAGGGCTATAAACCTCCAGATGAAGGTCCCTCTGAATACCAGACTATTCCGCTTAATAAGATAGAAGACTTTGGTGTACATTGTAAACAGTAAGTAACATAAAAACTACTAACTCTAACACAAGTTCTCAATTTTTGTGTTTAGGTTAGTGAGTCAGTACAGAAAAGTAAATTTCTTGGAATGTTTCAAATCTTGCAGTTATTTGTGGCTTTATCGCAGTTGGTTTTGTGAAAAAGTGTTACTGTCATTTATCAGGAGACTTTTTACAGGAGAACTGTTAGAAAAATGAAGATGAACCTGGCTAAAAGCTTTAGCAGTTGATTCCTGAACACCCTTAAGTAGTGCTTTCTTAGAGGAGGGAGGAAAGGGTCAGATGTAGGTATAGCAGCAGGGCGGGGAGACTGTAATAGGTCTGCCAAGTAGTGGCTTTATCCTGCATCACTGGGCGTGTTAGGATTGTTTCTGTCTTTGGTAGGATTGGAAGGTGGAGCTGCTTCAAGGATAACATCAGCAACAGGAAGAATTACTGCTTTTTCTCTCCTGCTAGTTTACTTTCCATGAATTAAGGTAGTTTAGTTTTAACCGTTCTTTAACTGTTTTTTCCCCAGCCACGTGTTCCTCACTTCATACTACATTTACTTATTTGGTGAGGCATTTGTTTTGACAGGTCAGTCCCCTTATCTCGTCCAACTTGCGGCAGCAGACATGTTCTTGCTGGTTAAGCTAAGGTGGGGTGTAGAGACTGATGTTGGAGATGCGGTGCTTGCAAAGAGCAACTAAGGAAAGATGGGACTGCTTCTTTCAGTAACGGCCTGCTTTCAGTCCTACCTCCAGATGTTTGACAAGCCATACAGCTTAAGGATCTGTTCACAGAGAACTTGAAGATCTCATTGACACCAGTGTGTCCTGTAGGCTATTGTGTAGCTTTTTCCACACTTTTGGTGCATGGATATATGTTCTTCAGTGCATTTATAGTTGCATGCAAAGTCTGACCCTGAAGAGATGAAGAAATTAAAACAATTGGGAATTGGTCTTCCTATCTGATTTGAGGAAAAATCCACAACAGTAGCTACACAGAAATCTTTGTAGAATTGTAACGTTCCTGTCATTTCAGAGTAGTCCTTATAAGTCTGGCATTGGCCATAAACCCATGCTTTTAAGCATGAAAGGAGGGTAAGTTTTATCCTTATGGTTTTTAGAGGTGGTCAGTTGGGGAGAGTTCATTTGGTGTTGTTTTTTTTTGCAGTCGGAAGTGCTTAATAGTTTCGTTACAATCTCTGTCTCAGGACATTGGCTTTTTGTACAAGCCATTTCTTTCCATCCAAACCGAGAAAATATTTTGCCGTCTTTCGTAGAACGAAACAGCTGTTAGGCAAAAAGAGAGGGAATTAAAACTACAAAATTGCCACGTTACTGAATTACTGATAATACAAATTACTAGAGTGGTGGTGTCCACTCAGTAGTATGGGTAGTCTGACTAAGAGTTAAAAATCTAGAGAACTTGAATGATGATCATAGAACCATTAAATCATTTAGGTTGGAAAAGACCCTTAAGATCAGAGTCCATTAATCTAGCACTGCCAATTCCACCACTAAACCATGTCCCTAAGCACCATGTCTACACATCTTTTAAGTACCTCCAGGAATGGTGACTCAACCACTTCCCTGGGCAGCCTATTCCAGTGTTTGACAACCTTTTCAGTGAAGACATTTTTCCTAACATCCAATCTAAATCTGCTCTGGCGCAACTTGAGGCTGTTTCCGCTTGTCCTATCACCTCTTACTTGGGAGAAGAGACCAACACCCACCTCACTACAGCCTCCTTTCAGGTAGCTGTAGAGAGCAATAAGATCTCCCCTGAACCTCCTTTTCTCCAGACTAAACAACACCAGTTCCCTTAGCCACTCCTCGTAAGACTTGTGCTATAGACCCTTAATGATCCTTTCTGTTTGGAATGCCAGTGACTACTAATTTCTTCATAGTAGCAGTCTGGAGAACCTTAGTCAAACTTCTCTTCTTTAATTGGTGTTCAGTGCCCAATGTGAAACTGCTTCTGTTTAATCTTTTTAAGTTTATTACCCTATTCCTCTAACAACTTGGATTTCTAATTTTGAATCTGCCACAAATCTCTTTGAAGAACTTAGTACCTCATTTTTCTTAGCATATATGAAATAAGGGTATTTGTTCTATCACAGAAATACTAAAACGTGGTGTGTTGGTAGATTTTAAAGCATTGTTATCTCAGATGCAATTTCTTGCAGAAATGCCAAGCAAAATAGCTTGCCAGAGAAATCAAGAGATAATAGGATTATTGACAACTTGCTCAAGAATTTTCTGATCAAAATAAAGTTTAATATAGCTCTTTAATGTCGCTGTAATTTGCCTGCACTAATGACTTTGCATAGCTCAGCTTTCTGTCTGCTTTATCATCTCTTGTGAATTGTGTAGCACCACTAAAACCTGACTGTCAAAGTAAGTGTGGTAGAACATAAGATTGTTTGCTGTTTGTAACATTTACTGGTCTCAAATGTTCCTATTTGAATTAGAGCTGATATATGCAAAACTCAGTCACCTGTAGGTAACAATTATTACAGTATTGAAGATCCCAAGCACGGAACAGGGCGTCATTTAAGAGAATAATTAAAAAAAACCCTTGCAATCTCAGTAAATAGAACACAGCAGTATGTGTGGGAATTATGTCTACCTGTATTAAAGCTATCTATGAAATACTGTTGGAAAATCCTTTAGAATTAGAATTGGACCTGGAGGTAACTTTTTCATTGTTCAGTGCTTTGAATTTTTGAAGATAGTTGCCATTGATAAGGATTTTTTGAGTTGCATATACTTTGAGTGTCACAGCCAAACATGACATATTTAGATGGAAACTGTTTGCATGTTTGTTTTTAAAGGTATTATGCTTTAGAAGTCTCGTACTTTAAATCATCTTTGGATCGTAAATTGCTTGAGCTTTTGTGGAACAAGTACTGGGTGAACACTCTCAGTTCTTCTAGTTTGCTTACTGTAAGTACCATAGTATGCTGTCATGTGCTTATGTCAATTCATTAGTGCTGAAAGCCAGACCTTCTACTGTAAAATGCTTAATGGGACACTGATAGATACAGATCCCACATTAAGAATCTATTTGTCAGATTAAACAAGGAAGGAAGGTTTTCCTAATCATAAATACTGAAATGTATTTCAGTATTATGTATAATACTGAATTATTTACTAAATTACCTCCTCATTGTAAGTAGAAGGTGGGAATAACTTGTTTCATTTTACTGAGTTCTCTATATGCTTAGATTTTTCCTTAAACACCTTTTAACTTTATATCTCTCTACAGCACTGTAATGAATAGTATGCCTTTAAAATAATGGTATTGAATAAGTAAACACTTCAAAAAAAACCCACACAGAAGAAACCAAACTAGTGGAACTGTTAAAACAAGGTTGTAACAGAAATACTGGAGGTAGACCTTCAGTGTAACAGCATAGCATCAAACCTTCCCTCTGCAAAAGCCAATTTTATACCTTCTCTCAGTCAAAACCAGTTGAGTTTTACTTACTCTTTCATAACTTAGGGCATGGGCAGAAAGTAATAAAGAGTGCCTGTTTCAGGCTTTAGGTATTGAATGTTTGCCAGATGTTCACCCTTTGTTCTCTCAACCACCACTTGTGTACAACTCATGTTCTGTATCACTTCAATTGCAGATATAGGTTAAAATGTGTGGTCTAAAAGGTGCTTTTAAGCTTGAATTTATAGCTGAGAATTCAATACGTTTATTGACTTCTTTTTCCTAAGAATGCCGACTACACCACTGGCCAAGTGTTTGATTTGTCTGAAAAATTAGAACAGTCAGAAGCTCAGCTTGGAAGGGGCAGTTTCATGCTGGGTTTAGAGACTCATGATAAGAAATCAGAAGACAAACTTGCAAAAGCAACAAGAGACAGGTAAGGTAATGCATACTTGTGTTCTTCCCTGTAAAATGTGTTATTTTGTTTTAAACTTTTATCGTGCCTTTAATTGTAACCTACCAATTAAATTGTAACCTACTAAGATTATAGAGGAGAATGTTTAGATTATAGATAGGAATGAGAAACTCCAAATATTGCTAGTTATTTTTGAAAGTTTTCTTAAACTTTGCCTTTATCTACAACAGCTTTTCAATCTTTGTTTCTGGAATAAATTGAACTCTAGTTTATAATTTATTGAACAGAAGATCCCTGTTAAATTCCATCAGTATACAGCAAACAAAAAAAAATGTCTTCTGTCAAATGCAAAAAGGTATCATTGCTAGAAAATAAGCATGTTTTATGTGGTTAATCAGGTTTAAACTTACAGTAAATTAAATTATTATATAGGACATGATTTTAAGAACTAGTGCTAACAGTAAGTTTAGTTTACAGTTGTGTAATACTTTCACTGGCTTAAAAATTAAACTTTTTTTTTTTGTTTCTTCACTAATACATCCTTCTTCCACAAATGAGGAAGATTTTTTGTTATTTTGTGTTTTGTTTCTAAGTAGTAGATTACAGACACTCTGGCCTTTATATTTAGCTATCCTGCCTGACAGCAAATACTTGCTGTTACCAGTAATGAAGTTATCATCACTGGGTGTACAGCATTATTTCAAAAAAGTTGTAATGTTTTCCCTCAGTGTTCCTTATATGTTTGTTAGTAATCAGTTCTTTTCTTTTTTGAGCTTTGAAGTACCGAAGTTGCTTCTCACTAATACATCTCTCTCCCAATAGTCTTAAGAATGATACATGAGCTTAGACTATCTATATAATGTTGTAGTCACCATTTTTTCAAGTTAAATCTTTAACAAAGGGTAATAGTATCCAAGAAGTCATACAGTATCTTGTGGCTGTTCAAGAACATTGTGTCTGGTGAATTCCAGACTTGGAAAACCAGGAAGCACTGCACTGCATGTGCTAGTACAACTTCCAGTCCATCTGTGGAGACAATGGAGACTCGCCAACATACATCTTAGGAGTGTTCCGAGTGAGCTATAATTCCATATAATAAGGAACAGCTCTGTAGAATCCCTTGGAACAGACTGCAAAAATTGAATACAATCTGGCATGTTCTACTTTTCCAATTTGGAGGTTTCCTGGTCCTCTTCCTCATTTTATCCTGATACATAGAAGGGTTTTCCTGGATTTTCTTCCTCTGACTCTGCCCCACATTAGCAGTATTTGCCATAGTACAGGCCTTACTAAGGAACTGATTTTTAAGAATACCAGATGAGTGGTGAGTTTAATGATAGGTAAAAAAATCAAGGGACAAAAAGGAGGCCTTGTGTGAAGAGACTGATTTATAAATAAATTATTTTTTTATTTACATCTTGCTCAGTATGACTCAGGTGAACATGGGCTTTGCCTTAATAAAGCAAGGAGTCAGCTTTTGTTGGCCAAGCCTTTGTTCCACAGTAAGCAGTGGGCGATACCTGCAAATGTAATGTGGTCATTACTAAATAGAATCAGAGTTGTTGTTGTGCTAGTGACTTCTGTGCATTTGTTTCCTTGCTATGGGAAGTTGACAGCTCTTATAAGTTTTCTAACAAATATAATGAAGTTGGAGGGGGCTTGACTTTACAGAAGTTAATACCCATTTAGACTATTTCAGTTGCAGAATACATTGCAATGGAGCTAAGGCCGTTGCTAACCCCCAACAGCCAGGTTAAGTGATACCTCCCAGTTCCTGTAGTGAAACAGTTACAATAGTAATACTTTAAAGACATGAGAAGGATGGAATTTGCTGACAAGTTTGCTTTCCTTTTGATCCCTGTTTGGTGTCCTGTAATGCTGACCACATTTTACTTTCATGTTACTCTCACATGCTTACAGTTAATTCAAGAAATAATTCCTTCTCTGATCATCCTACTATATTATTTCTTGCAACCTTTATAGAGATTTTTCTTTCCTGTTTTTATTTAGTCATCATCAGTAGTTAGTTTATAAATTGTAAGACTGGAAGGGATTGTTGTTGTCAACAATTCTTCTTTCCTGTATAACAGAGGCTACTGTAGTTCCCAAAATGGATTGTTATACTTTGTAAAGATGCATGTTTTTCTTCAACTAAGAATCTTTCCTGAGAAAAGACAGTAGAAGATTTGTGTAGACTCCAGGACAATTGATTCAGTGGCACCTAAATTACTTTCAAGAAATAAGGGTGCAATGTTTGCTTAAGGATTACTGGGTGTACTTTTTTTAGGAAAAATACTGTAAGATATTAGCATAAAGGTGCTTACACTTGGCTGTATATCTTCTATTACTGTACATACCCATCTCTAAGAGCCATTTTCTAAGAGTACATACACATTAGCCAAACTGTGCTCCAAGCTGGTTTCCTTTGCCTAGGATTCCTTTACCTATGTAGTAGTAATTTGTCCCTGTTCTCCATGCCTTCAGGGATGATACATCTTTTGCATTTGTATATTCTGTTTTGAGGCATTTTTATTTGTTAGTTTGACACTACATCCGCCTAAGCCAGGCACACTGGATGAAACTTGGATCAATAGGAATCCTCTCAGCTGTTTTGAGGGTTTTGCACATGTTTACACATTTTGACTAATAACAGATGAGCTCTATAAACTCTTCTTTTAATGTTCTCTGTAAAGTTTCTCAGGGGAGCTATGGTTACTGTGCACTACTGGCCTGGGGCTGGGCAAAGGAGATAATGTAGAGAACAGTGAGAGCCTTCAGGTATTGATAACAGCTGGTAGCTCCATTTGCCCGGGGATTTTTTATTATTATTATTA